TTTAATTTAGGGACCAATTCTCACTATTAACTAGTTACTTATTAGCATGCCTATTATTAACATATTGACTGATTATTAGTGCTTGTAAAGCACACATTCTGCGTGACCATTCGCTAATCTGATCCAATACCTAAACTTAATAATTACCTTACTAACTATAAATAAGCAGCAAATTAGGAGTTTACTGAGGCAGAAGTCATAGTTAGTGGTTTGTTAATGGTGAGAATTGGACCTCAAAATAAAGTGTGACCGAAAATCTTAAATATAAAAATGTATTCAAAATGTTAAAAATTTAATTTATATATTCTTAAAATTTTTTTATGACTAATGTATTTCTAAAACATACAAAAATCCTTAAATATAATAAATATATTCCTTAATTTTAAAAGTAATTTTAATATAATTTTTAAAAGTATAATGTATATTTTTTAAATAAATACATTGGTCTTGGTCATATTTAAAAATGTTTAGGAAAATTTAAAATATATTTTTTATATTAACATTTTAATGACAGTATATTTATTGAAATAAAATTTAATTCTTTTATTTTTCAAAATGAGCAGAAAATAAAACAAACTTTGCTAAAGTGATTGTTTTGAACAAGTATTAACTTAGACATTATTTATAAAAAACAACAACATTATTTTAGCTGAAGTATTTGTATCAATACCGTGGGCCTTTTACCCCATGTGTGGGGTAAAAGGCCCCTCTTGCCACCTCATACATTTATAAGATTTTTAAACAAAATAAACAACTTGAATGATTTATTTTAACACAAAATCTGTTGCTCCATTAATGTTCAATACAACGTATATATTTATTCTGCAATTATACATTTTAGGCACAGTGAATGGCACATTTTTTCTTAAGGTGGGCCTTTAGCCCCGTTGTACCCTATATGTATGTTACATGATATTTGAATGACATAATTGATTCTCCTCTCTGATTGGTTGGACAGTATCAACATCATAATGGTGTGGACTTTGACTGTGAACTGAGGATGCTCATCCATCAGAGTCTAGCTGGGAGCATCATTGGAGTGAAGGGTGCCAAGATTAAGGAACTTCGTGAAGTAAGACATTGAGAAGAGAATTTGAATTACAAATTATGAATTTCCTGTGCTAATCAAAACTTTTTCTCTCTTCCAGAGCACCCAGACCACCATCAAGCTCTTTCAGGAGTGCTGTCCTCAGTCCACTGACCGCGTGGTGCTCGTGGGGGGCAAAGCGGAGCAGGTTGTGGAGTGCATTAAGACCATGCTGGAGCTCATTGTGGAGGTCAGATTCAGACGGTTTGACATAGGGGTGTGCGATATGACGATTTTTGATTGTGGACGATAAAAATGTCTCCACGATCAGCTTTTGAAGAAATATCGTAGTATCGTGCTACAGTGCACATTCAGCTGCAGTTCTGGCGCCTCCGTCTCAATGTACTGTACAACGCGAAATACATTCACTACAGTGTTAACTCAGCGGTAGAGTTACTCTCACAGGACACTGCACTTATTAAAACGATTTTGTTTCTGTATTTTAAAATATATTTTTTATATTAACATTTTAATGACAGTATATTTATTGAAATAAAATTTAATTCTTTTATTTTTCAAAATGAGCAGAAAATAAAACAAACTTTGCTAAAGTGATTGTTTTGAACAAGTATTAACTTAGACATTATTTATAAAAAACAACAACATTATTTTAGCTGAAGTATTTGTATCAATACCGTGGGCCTTTTACCCCATGTGTGGGGTAAAAGGCCCCTCTTGCCACCTCATACATTTATAAGATTTTTAAACAAAATAAACAACTTGAATGATTTATTTTAACACAAAATCTGTTGCTCCATTAATGTTCAATACAACGTATATATTTATTCTGCAATTATACATTTTAGGCACAGTGAATGGCACATTTTTTCTTAAGGTGGGCCTTTAGCCCCGTTGTACCCTATATGTATGTTACATGATATTTGAATGACATAATTGATTCTCCTCTCTGATTGGTTGGACAGTATCAACATCATAATGGTGTGGACTTTGACTGTGAACTGAGGATGCTCATCCATCAGAGTCTAGCTGGGAGCATCATTGGAGTGAAGGGTGCCAAGATTAAGGAACTTCGTGAAGTAAGACATTGAGAAGAGAATTTGAATTACAAATTATGAATTTCCTGTGCTAATCAAAACTTTTTCTCTCTTCCAGAGCACCCAGACCACCATCAAGCTCTTTCAGGAGTGCTGTCCTCAGTCCACTGACCGCGTGGTGCTCGTGGGGGGCAAAGCGGAGCAGGTTGTGGAGTGCATTAAGACCATGCTGGAGCTCATTGTGGAGGTCAGATTCAGACGGTTTGACATAGGGGTGTGCGATATGACGATTTTTGATTGTGGACGATAAAAATGTCTCCACGATCAGCTTTTGAAGAAATATCGTAGTATCGTGCTACAGTGCACATTCAGCTGCAGTTCTGGCGCCTCCGTCTCAATGTACTGTACAACGCGAAATACATTCACTACAGTGTTAACTCAGCGGTAGAGTTACTCTCACAGGACACTGCACTTATTCGCGATCACAAAAGTACATTATTTGCATGTGCTTTAAAGCCTTGCCGGTTAAATGTTTCATTCACGCGTTGTTCTGACGTGTGCTTTTTCTAAGCGCCTACACCCAAAGCGCACGCACTAAAAGTTTAAAACTCTGTTAAACATCGCCTGATTACTGAACTAAGTTATCTTTTGCGCTAATACTGTCAAAACACACAAAGTTTACATATGCTTCTGTCTAAAATGAAAGTAAACCGTTGAGAGAAAAACAGATACGTGCCTGTATATTAGATGCGTGCAGGTCTTAAAGGGACAGTATTAAACATGCAGCCGACTGTCATTAAAGGGATAGTTCACCCTAAAATTTAATTTCTGTCATTATTTACTCGCATGCTGTTCCAAACCTGTATTAATTTCTTTCTTGTGCTGAACACAAAAGAAGATATTCTGAAGAATGTGGGTAACCAAACAATTGCTGGTCCACCTTGAATTTGATAGTAGGAAAAAAAATACTATGGAAGTCTCTGTGGACCAGCAACTGTTTGGTTTTCCACGTTCTTCAAAATAGCATTCATGTTCAGCAAAAGAAAGAAACTCTTTCAGGTTTAAAACTAATTTTGAGTGAGTAAATGATGGTATAAAAATAAAACACTATGAAAGAATTGACAGACAGATGGCAGAATTTTTATTTTTGGGTGAACTATTCCTTTAATGTTAATAAAACAAAACACAAAGAGAAAAATCCCTCACTACTCTTGACTGTAAAACTTTAAAGGAGACATATTATGCCCCTTTTTACAATATGTAATATAAGTCTCTGGTGTCCCCAGAACGTGTCTGTGAAGTTTCAGCTCAAAATACCCCACAGATCATTTATTATATCATTTTAAAAATGGCTATTTTGAGTGGAAGCAGAAACACGCTGTTTTGCAAGCCTGTCTCTTTAAATGCAAATGAGCTGCTGCTCCCCGGCCCCTGTTCCAGAATAGAGCTGCGCCATTACAGCTCGTACCTGCTATAAAACATCTGTTTTGGTTCTGGTTATCATGTTTATCGCGCTGAAATCATGCGTTTTAAACCATATTAGTTTAAACTTCAGATATAAGGTTTTCTGAGTGCACACATCCAAAGCACATGGACAGAAAGCGGCTGTCACAGCATGCGAGTACTAAACTAAGTTCTCATTCACACACAAGTTTACGTTAAAAACACACATGAGTTACAAAAACAGTCGGTTTTGTCTGTGAAGGTAAACAGCTGGGAAATAAATACAAAGACAGAACAGTTAGCATGTTTTGCTCAAACTTTCGCCGTGGCATTAGAACTGGTACACCGTTGTCGCTTGTGAAATCAAAATAACGGCGCCGTGGGTAGAAACTTACAGATGAAGGGGCGGTAATATTATAATGAGATCCCTTTGCCGCGTCACCAAGGGAGCGAAATCAGACGCGCTCGTTTTTTTCAGACACTTGCAGAAAAAGGCTTCCCAAAACAAAGTGACTGGGTTAATCTTTTTCACGTTTCCTTGGTTGGTAGATGCACCGGGGACCTGATTATAGCACTTAAAACCTGGAAAAGTCAGATTTTCATGATGTGTCACCTTTAATACAGTTGCTTTAATAGGAATCAATCTATGTTCTATTTTTATATTTGTTCATTCAATTTCTTGAATGCTCCTGCTAAATACACCTATTGTACCTGAAAATAAAACACTGTTTTATTTGTATGTTATGTGTATTTTTAATGTGTATCTTTGTTCTTATTTTTTAATAACAAAGATTAAATAATGACAAAGATTTTTATCTTCGCCCACTTTGGCCTAAATATCCGCCATTTTTTAAATATTTTGTTACATTGAAAGGCTTTGTCTTTACAATAGGGAAATTAGTTTGGCTGTAATGCTCAGTCAACTTGCAAAATAGTAAAACCAGCATGACGAAGAATCGTGATAAAACCGTGAATCGTGATATGGTATTTTTGCCATAACGGCCACCCCTAGTTTGCCAGTGCTGTTTGTCCAGGTGTCATTAGACCTGTTTCTCATGAGCTCTCTCTGTCTCTCTAGGCTCCCATTAAAGGTCGAGCTCAGCAGTACGACCCTAACTTTTACGATGAGACATATGACTATGGCGGCTTCAGTGTGATGCATGAAGATCGGGGCCGTCGGCCTATGGGCGGCTTCTCCTCGAGGGGGCGTGGCAGCGGCGGTGGCTTTGATCGGACGCCCCCCAGCGGAGGCCGTGGCGGCCACCACATGCAGAACAGGAGAGACTATGATGACATGAGCCCACGCAGGGGCCCCCCTCCTTCCCAGAGAGGGGGAAGAGGAGGGAGTCGTCCTCCACGAAACATGCCCATGGGACAGCCACACCACAGGAGAAGGTGAGACATATACTTACGTCATCTACTTTTGGTTTTAGCCGAGAATTTTTAGTTTGGTTTATCATTAAGTATTGATTTGTGTTGACTGACAGTTTATGGATGCTGTATCTCTCTGTTTTGACAGTGATGATCAGTACTCCTACAGATCTCAGCGTGGCCACATGGATGAACGGCGGCAGTAAGTTTTTAATCTGGATCTGCGTTGCTTGTTTTCCCTTGGCTTTGTGTTGTGGAACAGTATTTGTTATAGTAGGATGTGATATTAGCTTATTGTTGCTTTGCTTTTTTTCTCTCCAGTGGGGAAAGACGAGGGCGCAACGATCGTTATGGAGGCAGCATGGTCAGTATTCAGTCTTTTTGTAATTTTATTATGTTTAAGTTTTTGATTCTCACATTTCTATTCTCTTCTCTCTTATTTTGCAGAATGATGGATACGGTAAGTTTGTCTTTAAATACATGCTAAATAAATAAATGCTATCTGGCTCAGGCTTTTTTTTTTCTTTTTTTTCACCTTTTAAGTCATGTTTAGCCCCATCAAGGCCTTTGAAAACCTTTTATCAGCTACTGACGAACTTGCTCTGGCTGAGCACTACACACCATTAGAACAACATGTGAAGCAACCAATATTTTATTTATTTTATACATGCTGTTTAAGGGGGAATTAATCTAAAAAAAAATAAGCTATTTTGTTTGTCCAAAAATAAGTGTTTTGCAGATTTTACAGTTACAGTTTTACATGATGTTTCTGATTTAAATATTTACTGAGTGAATTCAACTAAATTGAGACACTTTTTGACATCGAAAAGACTATCAAAAGAGTGGCCCACTTGTGTAAACACAAGTCGTCTTCATCTTTACAAAAGATTTACCATTAATTTTTTATTTTTTTTTAAATCAGACAACAATTCATCTTGGAATTCCTCTTATCAGTCTGGTAAGTATTCCATCCTATTATAAAGAAGGCCAGCTGACTTTTTTATATTCTCCAGTAATTGTAAATTACTGTAACTTGTAAATCTCCCATTATGATGCTTTCCCTCTCTTTTTATGCTCAGGTGGAAGGAGCAGTTACAGTGAAGATCCTGTGATCACCACACAAGTGACGATTCCTAAAGATGTGAGTAAATCACTCGTAATGCGATGCGCTTTAAACATGAAACACGTGTTTACCTCGCTCTGCTGTGATTCTCAGCTGGCGGGATCCATCATCGGTAAAGGCGGTCAGAGGATCAAGCAGATTCGTCATGAGTCCGGAGCCTCAATCAAAATCGACGAGCCCCTGCAGGGTTCTGAGGACCGCATCATCACCATCACCGGAACCCAAGACCAGATCCAGAACGCTCAGTACCTGTTACAGAACAGGTGTGTGACACATTCAACGACTTCAGCAGTTCACAGCTCAGTTAGTGTTGGCAAACGTACCGGGACTTCAGTACCAAGTCGATACTACAATTTCAAAGATGTAACAATGCCAGCCTTTACGCAGAGGAAGCTAAAACACAACACTTGCATTTAAAAGTGTAATCCAGCGTTTTCTCTCAAAAAAATCCTGTTGTCATCGGCGCACAATGAATCTCGGTAGCCTGGGCAATGAAGGATCCGTCAGTTGTATCATTTATACCAGGGGTGGCGAACGTCGGTCCTGGAGAGCCGCAGCCCTGCAGAGTTTTGCTTCAACCCTAATCAAGCACACCTGAACAAGCTAATCAAGGTCTGAAGGGTTGCTAGGAAGCTACAGGCAGGTCAGTTTTAATTAGGGTTGGAGCTAAGCTCTGCAGGACTGCGGCTCTCCAGGACCGGAGTTCGCCACCCCTGATTTATACCCTGGGAAACGAAGGAGGCATTTTTTGAGGGTGCTTTTGAAGGAACCCCTGACTCGCTGCGGTGACACGGCCGGAATTGGACGCAGCTAATGTGTTTTGCAGTGTTGAGCTTTGTAGCCAATCACAGACATGTTTGTTGAGCACGAGAGCACAATGGCCAGTCAGAGGATTTTAAGTCAGAATCCCCTCATTATGAGTTTAAGCGTGAGCTTGCATTCATTATAACCGACAAAGTATAAACACAATGTAAATAAGAGAAGTATTATGCAGTATAGACAGACTGCAGACTTTTTCTTTTTTACTCCGTCATTAAGCTTGTGCTGTGTTTGAACCAAAGTGAAATCAGCTTCATTGATTATAAACAGGGTTTCTGTGGGTCTTAAAAAGTCTTAATTCACCTTTAAAAAGTTATTAAAGCAGAGCAGAAACCCTTAAATTCATATCTATGAAAAAACAAAAACATTATTTTATTAATTTATTCATCAATCAATCAGCATTTACTTGACATGCAAATGTAAATTGTACAAAATTAAGTGAGTTTATGCTTAGAACCAGAAAAAACATTGGGGAATGAAAATCTTTCTGTATATAACCTTTTCATAATTTAAAGAAGTTTTACTTTTCACACTGCGAAGTTTCAGAAGTGATGACTGTAAGGTGAATCTGAAATTGTGATGGTTATCGCAACATCAAGCATCGCAACAGACGTGACAAAAATCTGATATGTCAGCTAGATCTTTGTGTTAAAGGGATACTCCACCCCAAAATGAAACTTTTGTCATTAATCACTTACCCTCATGTCGTTCCAAACCCGTAAAAGCTTTGTTCGTCTTCGGAACACAATTTAAGATATTTTGGATGAAAACGGGAGGCTTGTGACTGTCCCATTGACTGCCAAGTAGCTCACACTGTCAAGGTCCAGAAAAGTATGAAAGACATCGTCAGAATAGTCCATCTGCCATCAGTGGTTCAACCGTAACGTTATGAAGCGACGAGAATACTTTTTTTGTACGCAAAGAAAACAAAAATAACGACTTTATTCAACAATTCATCTCTGCGTCACCGTAGCGCCATTTTGGAGAGTATCCACTGAACGCAAACGGAGTATACTGTTCTACTAGACTGTCAGCCGCACCACGCGGATACGTTTTCTACGTTTATTTACGCTTTGATTTGAACGAAAACAGCGTATCCGTGTGGTGCGGCTGACACAGAACAGCATACACAGTTTACTTTCAGTGGATACTCTCCAAAATGCCGCTACGGTGACGCGGAAGATAGATATCTTAAATTGTGTTCCGAAGACGAACAAAGCTTTTACGGGTTTGGAACGACATGAGGGTAAGTGATTAATGACAACATTTTCATTTTGGGGTGGAGTAACCCTTTAAGTATTGAACAATATTTGAAGGCTACATACTAAAGTTTTCATGTGTTGTAGCATTAATAACTAACTAATTTTATTTCATATTTTTATTTTCAAAAAGTGAACTGGTAACACTTTAGATTAGGGAACACGTATTCACTATCAAGAGTTTTCCCTCAATAAACTCCTACTTTGCTGCTTATTAATAGTTAGTAAGGTAGTTGTAAGTTTAGGTATTGGGTCAGATTAAAGGACCTTAAAAATGGTAATGCAGAATAAGGCATTAGTATGTGCTTTAATCAGCCAATATGCTAGTAATATGCATGCTAATAAGCAACTAGTTAACAGTGAGAATTGATCCTTAAAATAAAGTGTTACCAGCTAAATAAACTACAATAGTATTTGCTGTGGTAGTGAAGTTGGTACTGAGAGCCATAGAGCTTTACTGGTATTGGTACAGACTACTGAAATGTTGGTACTCTAATCCCAGTGAGCTACAGCACTGTTGCTGACTGATCGTTTCTCTCACGTGTTTTGTTCTCCAGTGCTCTGCACCTCTTGGGACGGCAGAACTGACCAGCCCACCTTTCTCAGGATGTCCATCCAGCTGCAGCTCAAGTCCTGTCCACACGTGATGGCCTGACACCTGACGCGTCCGTCTGTCCCCTTCATAGGAATGAATCATAGAATCGAACCAGCCCGAGCCCTCTGGGTGTCCTTGATTGTGGATTTTGTGGGGTTGTTCGTTTTTTTTTTTTTTTGCTTTGTTTTTATAAATATTAATTTTATATGGGCCAACTGTCACTTCACAGAAATCTTGGACGAGCAGATAACTGCTGTTCAACAGGACATTGTTGTTGTTTTTTGAGTTCTGATACTCTTCCACTATTCCAAACTCTTGATCCAGAATGTACACAGTCACATAACAATTATTATTTACATTTTTTTTTTTTTTTACACCTTGTTTTTCTGAGCATTCTAAAATGGCATTAGATAGAGAATGGAATGTAAATATCCAATGATACTATGGAAAATGATTACTATGATTAATCTCTGTTCCATGTGTGTAATGTTTTACCCTCAGAAATACAGATCATATTTTCACCAGGTACTTTTTTTGTATTGCTTTTCCTCCTGTCTGTTGCTTGGTTTTTAAAATCTAGTGTTGGAAAAAAAAAAAGTTTGCTCTACCTCTGGAATTTTTTGTAGGTCTGCCATCCTTAAAGTAGGCCCTCAATCGTGTTGTTTTTTTTGTTTTTTTTTTAAAGAAGAGAAGAAAAAAGTGGATTTGAAGTTTTAGACTATATTTGTGTTAGAGCAGGACAATAATTCTCACGCTCCTATTCTTTGTTTTATTTTTCTTATCTTTATTTTTTTACTCTAATTGTCTCTAAAGTTCTCCAACCAGGCACATTTGTAGAGTTTGTCATTTGTCTGAAATAAAGGAATTGCCATTTTTCCAGCGTGGTATGATTTTTAAATGGTGTCAGTACTATATAATGAAAATCATGTCTGGACAAACTAATTCATTAATAATTAAAGACATATACCAACAGTATAGGCCTACAACTGATGTTTTTGTGCATTTGTCCGAATGAGACTGCATTACACAAAACTACCGGCTATGGTGGGATGTGCTTAATTATTGTGAAAATAATGTAACCAGAGTCTCTATGGCCCTAAAAAAACAGGCTTGATTTTCTATGTGCAAAATATAATTTTCTGATTTTGATGATAGGATGAGATACTGTCCAGAACTGTTTCTCTTTTGTGTGAGATTGGCAATTGATAATACACCATACAATGACGTTCTATAGAATTAGAATTACTCAATCTAAATAATTAGAAGGGGGTTAAAGATTGATTGCAGACATTCTAAAAAAAATCGATCACTTGGACCTATTGCAGTACATTTTGTCCTGTGCTCCTACTCTGTTTGCTCTAAACATGCAATGCAAAATGTGAAAAGTTCAACTTGCCTCGGATATTTTTGCACTTTGGCCGACAGTAATCTTTGACTTCACACCTTGTTTATGATAAAGAAAAGTTCAGATATTGTCTGACACAGTTTTCATTGTAGCATGCATATACATTAAGTTTGTAGCATATATGTTAAGACCCCCTGTGGTGAAAATCACGTTTTTAACGTTGATGTTTACACGTCTATGTGGTGTTTTAATACTTGTTACAAATGTGCGAGATATTTGCATTAGACATTAATTGTGGCTTAATTGTCCAAATCAGTAAGGTCTGGTACAAAATACAAACTGTTCACGAAATACATGTAAATGGAATTCATTCATTAATTCAAGTGCAAAAATGTCTGAGGCAACAGTTTAACTTTTCACATTTTGCATTGCATAAATGTGCAGAGCAGACAGAGAAGGAGCACAGGACAAAATTTACTGCAATAGGTCCAAGTGTTCGATTTTTCATTCATTCATTTTAGATTAGTTTTAATGATATTTAAAGTTTCGCAACTTTTCTATAAACCGAATACTTGCGCATTTTTTGCGCATCTGTGGTCAGCTTGAAGCCAAAAGGGCCCGACACAACCCGCATGTCACACTACTACAGAGGCGTTTTAGCAAATAGCAACAAAACAAGCGGGAGAAAGTAGCTTGCCCAACACGGAAATCAAAAGCTAAAGTGTGTGTGTGTGTGTGTGTGTGTGGTGTTTTACGTCCGAGGAGAAAAGCCTGTAATATCTGCAGTTGATATACAACCTAATGTACTTTGTACAGAGACCTCCTGCACTCTCCTCACTTCTGCTGATATGAGCGTTGACTAAATTAAAGCAAGACTGTTTGATTACATTTACAAGGACTTTCAACTGAATGGACACGAAGACTTTTCAGTAAGTATAGTTTAACTACTCACATCATGACAAAATGCAAGTTTCGAGAAAAAATGTTAGAGACAATATTACAATTGGTTAGAAAATTGTCATAAAATAAGGAATAAAATATCTACAACATTTTTAATGAATCGTTTAATCGATAATGACTTATTTAAATAAAAAACACGTAAGTGAAATAGTTTACTGTTAGTTAATTTTTGTAGTATGCTGTGCACAGTATGCAACTTTTCTAATTAAGCAGAACTTAACTAATCAGATGGCTGCGTTCTAAAAACATACTGAGCAGGTACTTTTTTGAATAAGTACTTACTTTTTGACTGTAAAAAAAAAAGTTCTATATGGTTTTATTTTGTATGACTATAATCCAGCCTTACTACAGTAAATGTGTCATGTTGTCATTGTCACGTGACCTACCAGTTGTGTCACTTCATTCACAAATGCTCTCCCATGGCCTCATGGGATTGTAAAGTGTGCACTAAATGCACACTTCAGAATCTGGCCAGAAGTATTAGATCATTGGGATAATTTTAATAAATACTGAATTTGGACATACTAGTCTTTTCACATACTTAGTGTAGCATGCCTAGTGTTTTTGCCTATTAAATAGTAGGGATGTATGCATATTCGGATGCAGCATGTGTTGAATACTGTAACCCACAATGCAATGTGCTCAACTTGACCTTTTTCCACTGTGACCAATGAACCAGTAATACCACACTTCAACTGTCATTGCATTCTATAGTGCCCTCCACTAATATTGGCACCCTTGATAAATATGAGCAAAGGCGGCTGTGAAAATAAATCTGCATTGTTTATCCTTTTGATCTTTAATTTAAAAAAATCACAAAATTCTAACCTATCATTGAAGTTAAACAATCGAAAGTGGTGGGGGGGAACCTCATTGTGAAATAAATGCTTTCTCTAGTTCATGTTGGTCACAATTATTGGCACCTAATTATTGCAACGTCCTTTTCCCAAGATAACAGCTCTGAGTTTTCTCCTATAATGCCTGAAGAGTTTGGAGAACACCTGACAAGAGATCAGAGACCATTCCTTCATCCAGAATCTCTCCAGATCCTTCAGATTCACAGCTCCATGTTGGTGCTTCTTCAGTTCACTTCACTCATTTTCTACAGGGTTCAGCTCAGAGGACTGGGATGGCCATGGCAAAAGCTTCATCTCTGCAATTCTCCAGCTGTGATCCTTGGAGAGTCTTTGGCCACTCAAACTCTCCTCCTCACCGTGCATTAGGACGATATAGACACACGTCCTCTTCCAGGCAGATTTGTAACATCTTTAGTTGATTGGGACCTCTTAATTACTGCCCTGATGGTGAAAATGGGGATTTTCAATGCTTTAGCTCTTTTCTTACAGCCACTTTTTGTTTTGTGAAGGTCAACCATCTTGTTCTGCAAATCAGAACTATATTCTTTGGTTTTACTCCTTGTGATGGATGATTAAGGGAATTTGGCCTTTGTGTTCCTCATATTTATAATCCTGTGGAACAGGAAGTCATGGCTGGACAGTTTCATGCTCCTAGTCACCCTGGTGTGCTAAAAATGTAAACATGAATGGGAAAATACTTCAGAGATATTTTACTCTTAAGAATTTCTAGGGGTGCCAATAATTGTGGCCAACATGCATTGGAGAAAAACATTTATTTCATCATGAGATTTTCTCCCCACTTTCGATTGTTTAACTTCAATGATAGGTTAGAATTTTGTGATTTTTTTAAATTAAAGATCAAAAGGATAAACAATGCAGATTTATTTTCACAGCCGCCTTTGCTCATATTTACCAAGGGTGCCAATATTAGTGGAGGGCACTGCATTTGTTTTAATAGTATGCATTACTGTGCAGAATGCAAGCAGTATGCTAGTATTCAATTCTCAACAACATTTCTTCTCACACAGAAACCGATGGAGAAGCCACTGTCCCCTCGAGAGTCTGGTCAGTTTGTGGCGGAGCGCAGTCGAGATGTTTTCGTGGATGAAGATGGAGTCAAACGTGTGGCGCAGATGATCTATGATCTCCGTGAGAGCGAGGAGTTCACAGCCAGCGGCTGGAAGAAGATGAATCCTCTGGCCCCTCCGCCAGACTCAGACGAAGCCATCAACTGGGTGTTTGTGACCGACACCATGAACTTCTCCTTCTGGCCTGAGAGGGAGGAAGAGCAGTGTGAGGTGGTGTGTAGAGGAAACACCTATCGAGGGTACATGTCTCTCTGTGCTGCTGTGACCAGAGCTGTGGATGAAGGTGATTGGATTTCTGTCTCTCCTTTTCATTTGATCAGAACATTATTTTGGTCATGACAACTCTCGGAGTGATTGGCATGGCAATGTACATGACAATGTTAATGTATTTGATCTTGGTGGAATAGATTTGCTACGCTGCTGCTGCTGC